CCCAGGGAAAAACCCTAGTCCACCCCTTGGCCGGAACATATATAATGATTTTTTTTTAGAAGAATTGAACTGAATTAATCTATTATATATAAAAAAATTATGTAATTAAATCAATTTTATAAAATAAATTAGTATAAATATTTTCTTAGGATCAGATTTTTTTTTAATATGGATCAATTTAATTATGAATCAATTTGGACCGATTTAAATTTTTGCACACTCTTACTTTCATCTATCATTATGAATTTGTTCAATTTACAGTTTTGTAATTTGTCTTCTTTCTTAAAATACAATTTATCTAATATCGTGACGTGATAAGCTATTTTTACATAATAATCTTATTTTAATTTATTCTTTATCATTATTATTGGATAACATATTACTAATAAAATAGGTGTTTATGTTAGGTTAACCAATCTTGTAGTTGAATACTCTATTATTGTGATTAATACGTTATTATAATGGATGTTTATGTTAGGTTAGTTGTCAAAATTGATATATAACATAGTTGAAAATTTATAAAATTTTCTAATTTGAATAAGAATAATCTACTAAACGAAATTAATCGAAAATAAGCTGTTATTCAAATATTCTGATATTCAAAAATGTAATTTTCATCTTTATATTTTAAAAAAATATTATTATCTTAAATCCTAAACCCTAAACTCATGTCATTATGGGGATCACTATAATGAAGTACATTACTTTGAATTTGGTTTTAGGGTTGGAGATGCTCTAAAACACAATCTTTTTTTAACGTTCACGACGAATTTTTTTTTATAATTTTTTTCCCTTCTTTCTGGAGACGTAACTTGAATTTTAACGTAACCCTCTCTGGACACGAAAGACGCAACTTTTACTTCGACGACTTTTAACGTTTTAAGCTAGGTTAGTCATTCTTTTGGTATAACTTTGTTCAGTTTCTCATACATTATTTATCGTTGTAATAGCTTATTTAAATTTTAGCATAAAACCCTAAACACATTATTATGGGTGTCACATAACATGAAACTTATTTCTCTCCGTCGTGGGATGCTCTTAAAAGCTCGTGATAGAATTAAGTTTCAAAGCTTTGTAAAGAACAAAAAAGTCATATTAACAATTAGTTAACTTTAGTGGCATTTCTTTTCAAATAAGATATCAACAAAAAACTATTAATAAAAAAACATTGCAATATTTTTGACAGAAATAAGATTTCCGATAAAAAAAAAAATCGTGATAAAATGTCTAATATGGTTCTTGTTATATATTCCATTGACGTGTCAACTCTCATCTAAGTCAATTGTTTCTTTAAAAGGACCAAAATAAACATGTCTTACTTATATGGACGGACTCAAACAGTTATTTCCTCGAAATTTCTCGTAAGGTTCATCATTATTCTTTTGCTACTAATTAAGACCCTCTAGAGTAAGGTTTGATCTCATTAAAAAAAAAAAATTGCGATGGCTAAAGACCTATGTTGCATGGTCTCATCTAAGTTATTTCTTTAAAGGGACTGCAAAGTCTTTCATATATATAAAGATGAAAACTAAACGTTAATTTCCTTATTTTTGTTAATAAGAAATTATTCTTGAATAACATTTGGAACCAAATACTTATTTTCGAGATACAAATAAGGTCGCATATCAATAAAATAATTTTTTTTTATAAAATATATGCATATTTTATTGATTAAATTTTTTTTATATAATAATAAAAATAAAATTATAAAAGTTTAGTTTAATACTTATATTCTTTAATTAATAATATCATAACATAATCCTAATAATGATGCTATAAAAATGAATTATATTTTCTTATAAGAAAAAAGTAATTTATTTTTGTTGCTGAAACTCAAACGTGAAATACAAATTTCCTGACGTTAAGAACATTAGTTGAAGAAAGGAATTAATATTCAACCTAGACAATTTGACTTGTTCTCCTAAGTGTTGAGGAAAAATTGCCTCTGTTCCTTGTCCGGGAATGCGTAACTTGCCTTTCTTGATTTATAGGAAAATGTCTCCATCCCAAGTCTCAATTGCCAATTTTTCGAAAGTATGCTGTTGAAAGAACTAGTGATTGTGTTCCCACCTGAATGTAGAGGACCCCTACTGCTATACATGAAAACAGATTATGTTTAGGCCAACGAGGTTTTGTGACATAGGTTGGTGGATACGAACTCATGGCGCATAAAAATTATAACTTGGACAAACACATGCATGTGAATTAAGTGTTTAAAACCTTAATTCACGATCTTATTATTAATTTGTCTAAAATCAATTCATTTGCTTTACATTATTACTATCTTTACATTATCTAATAGTGGGTGCGATAAAATGTAATTATCTTTCATATTTTGTAAAGTTTGTTACTAAATTTTTTACAACTTTAAATATATTATTGACAACTTAACATATTACATCATGTCAAGTCATTATATTTTGTCTTTCAAACACGTGCGCGCAGACACACACACACACATATATATATATATATATCAATAATTTATATTTTCAATTAACATATTACATCAAAATATCATATAAATAATTAATGTGTTATGATAATAGTTAATATGTTACGTAAGTAATCAACTAATTTTTTTTATGGTCAATTAACTAGATGACAAGAAAAAGCAAAAAATTGTAAATTTTGTAAAAATATGAAAATTGGTTAATAAAAGAGCAATTAAGCCTATTTAAAACTAGTAGAAAATGGTATTTTATGATTTTGTAAAAGAAAAATTAATATTGATTAAGTGAACAATAAATTATGGTGAACACATTTTTTCTCTCTATTTTATCTTTAAAAGTGTTGAGAATATGCCTAAATATCTTTAGAAGATTAAGTTAGTTTTTTATAAGAATATTTTATTTATATTTCAAATATTTAGATTTAACTTGTTCTGATTATTTTAAGATTTATTTCCTTATTTTAGAATAGGATAATATCAAATATATTTGATTTTGTATAACAAATTTTCTCTATAAATAGAGACTCATGAATAAAATTATATTATGCTATGATACCAATGATGGGGTTATTTATGATATTTATTTGAGAGGATATTTTATAATTGAAAAGTTTGTTTCTGCTTCCATCTTTGGGCGATGAGAATGGAGGCATACCTAGAAGGTTTAGATCTCTGTGAAGCTGTAGAAGAAAATTATGATGTTTCCACGTTGCCAGAAAATCCTACTGTAGTTCAAACACGGCAAGTATACCGGTCGTTCAAGTAGTAAATTATATCGTATCCACAGGGACTAGTAGGTAAAATAAACATTTATTGACTATTCGTGACTAAAGAATGATTCCATTTTCATAGATTGTCATGCAATTCAAATAAAGGTTATGACCTATGGAATGTTAAAGCTATAAAATTAATTGTGTGTGTGGAAGGGATAGAAATGGTGTTGTGGTTTTGTAAGATTGTGGGGTTAGAAATCACCGAACGTCACACTAATGAATCTTTAATCTCTTATTACATTCATTATCTAGTCAACCCATAAGTTTACTCAAACCTAATCCCTTAGAGCAAGAGCCTAGGTGCGGATAGTGAATATCAATTCCTTGAGTTTCCAATACCTACACCCGCATTACGGGTTAGGGTTTAAGACTACTAATGGGCCAAACTCCATTCCTAGATACATTTCCCACTAGGTATTTGTTTCAGAGCTAGTTCAAAAGGCTATTTTCCAATACCCAATGGACTCTATATCAAGCAAAGGATGATCAATCCAAAGCAAACATTAAGAATAGAAACATAACACAACAATGAATGAAACAACATATATAT